CAAAATAAATAGATATCATAAATAGCATTGTTGTCAATAAGCATAAATGTTATGTTTTATGCCACAACATCATTTCCGATGGTTGTTTTAAATCCAGTTTGATACACACCATATTGAAATGAAGCTTAAGGAACGTAGACTGTTCGTGAATAGGCTCGAAAAGCATAGGTACGATTGGCCATGTGATTGGAAGAATGCCGGCACGCCAAAGGTGCCGGAAATAAATTCAATTAAAGGACTTTAAGTCCGCAGAATACATTGTGAGTAATTTGAACTGAGTAATTTGAGCTGAGTAATTTGAACTGAAACGATGATATGCTCCCGGGAAAATTAGCAAGTGAGATTGCGCCCAGGTATCATCGTAACAGTAGAATGAGTGAGAAGCAGCATCAGCCGGTGGTTTCCCGCCTGCTCGAACTGCTCGAAGCAGGCCGGCTGTTAAATAGGAAAATGGTAGAATCAGGAGAGTATTCCCCTGCGTGTGGTTGAAGGGTTGGATCGAGAAAATGACGGTTATAATGCTTGATTGTGTTGCAAGGGGAAAGAGAAAAGTGTTGGAAAACGACTTATTCGTCGTTTCTTTTATATTGATTGAGAACGGTGTACGTAGTTGTGTTCGCATGAAAATCGATATGGTCTGATTTCTCTTTCTGTTACGCAGCTGTGTTCGCATGAAAAATCGATGTACGTTACGTATTTGTGTCCGCATGAAATCCCGGTCCCCCCACTTGCATTAACTGGGCAGGGTTGTAGCCCGTGGCGTGTAACCCTGACCACTCTCCCCTGTCTTTTCGATCAGTTGACTTTTTGTCAACATGCATTTTTTAATGAGGTTATTGCCACAGGATAATCATGCAGACATGGAAATTGGACATTGTCCATGGCAGTGTTTTAAATCTGTTTTGAGATTTATGTTCTCATGAGAACAAATTTATTTATGTTCTCAACAATAAAATTTAGGCGACTGATATTTCCACACCCCTTTTTTGATATTTCCACATCCATGTAGATCACTTTTTTTAAAACTTTAATCGAAGGTACCTCGCCGACCACCTGATAAAATTCGATGAATTTTTTTTATTAGAGTTCTACAACTATACAGAAATTCAAATAAAAAAAAAAATTTGTCGAATTGTCAGGTGGTAATCGAGATACCTTCAATCAAAGTTAGAGAAAATTTTGCCGCGGCTATTATTTTGATAGACGTTTAGATTTTTTTAAAAAACTTTGATCGAAGGTATCTTGACGACCACCTGATTAAATTCGATGAAATTTTTTTATTAGAATCTACAATTATTTAACAGATATATAGCCAAAACATTTTAAAAATGTTGGATCTTTAAGCCCGATATCGCAATATGCTTTTTAACTTGTTATTAAAAAGAAATATATAATTAGATTATTTATTAATATAAATGAATAACGAAACTAATAAAAATATTTAATAGTGATTACCTCTCTTATAAATTCTTCATGATAATCATTTGATCCATTAAGCAATTTAAGGGCAACTGGCCTGAGTAAAACTTGACTTTTATCAAACCACGTAGCGTAATATACTGTTGCAAATCCACCTTTACCTATCTCTTTAATATTTTCAAATTCATCATAAGAAATCCATGACAACCGATATTTATTTTCCATCAATATGTTTTTCAAATTATCTTCAATTTCAGAATTATGAATCCATTCATTTGTAACTAAAGCTTATTTATAAAATTTAGTAAATTCAGATTATAAATAAAATAATAATAATTTATTAATGATAATACCTGATGTTAAATCATTTTCACTAATAGATATGAGTTATGTAAATTTGGTAAATAAATATAAATTCTATACATCTGTTCTAACAGGGGAAACGTTGAAACGTCACAAAATCGTTACACAATCGATAAAAAATTTTTTTATATTATTTTACAATACTTTTTTGGAAGGCTCGCTTGACTTATCTTTTATATGAATATTGAAAATGGTTAAACAAACATGAAGCTTTCACTTTGCTTTACAACATATTTTTTGAATCGATTGGTTGACTAATCCCGTAGTGATATTTGACTGGTCGATACAATGAGTGATCTGTGTAACGGAGAATGAAAATCATATTTATACGTTTCCTCCTGTTATCTGTTCTTAGTATTTGATACTGTGTTGCATCAGAATACGCAAGCACAAACTTAAACCCAAAATTTACCTTTGATACCAGTATTTGGCTTTTCGTAGATCTCTTGTTATTCCAATTCCATTTCGATAACATTCTGCAACCCTGACATTCCACGAGCGTCACCCATCTCTGCAGATTTTTGATAATAAATAAACGCCTTATGTTCATCCTTTTCAACTCCAATTACATATTGATAACAATTTCCAACATTAAATGTTCCATAAATGTTCCCTATCTCTGCAGATTTTTGATAATAAATGAATGCCTTTTGTTCATCCTTTTCAACTACAATTCCATTTTGATAACAATATCCAACACTACTTGTTCCTCCACCGTCCCCATCTCTGCAGACTTTTGATAATAAATTAATGCATTATGTTCAACTCCAATTCCATTCCGATAACAATATCCAACACTATTTGTTCCTCTAGCATCACCAAATTCTGCAGATTTTTGAAAATAAATGAAAGCTTTATTCAATTCCAATTCCATTTCGATAACAAAATCCAACATTATATGTTCCATAAATTTAAGCAAAATTTGATTATATTAATTGGATTTTTGTCTTTCTTCATTAGGAATTGTTCTAATATATCAAAAATTGAACGAGAAGTTTTGCCTTTCAATCTTTCTTCATTATACAGATTATACATTTCTTTAACAATTTCATTTAGAAAATCTTGAAAAATTCTGCAATTTGTTATCTTCTAAATACAATTGGGTAGATATCTGGATAATATCCGATATACTTTCCTGCTGCTTTACAAATAGGTTATTGTAATTTGATATTTTGACGCAAGAAAGGTGTATTACATTTGGATACATTAAATTGATGTTATGTATTACATTGTTAGTGCAATGTACATTCATTAATTTTAGTTGCCATTGTTAGATCTGTATATAACATTACCATCAAATTGGTAACCGTTAACAGAAAACATTTGAAAACTTTATTAATCAATAAAACTTTGATTTAATTGCTTGAAGGCCATGAAGCATCGTTTATTTTTAATTAAATGCTTTTTGCTCATTTTAATTTAATGTTTCTTATTCTTTTAAAGAGTTACTGTTGAACCTCTCAAAACCGATATGCATGGTGGATGGGTTTTGTATCAATATTAAGAGGTTATCGGATTTGAAACCATTATAAACTATTAGGTTTATATAACGGAAACAGACTTGGTAGATTAATTTTTTTTCAGATTTGACAGGTTATCAATTTTGACAGGATCGGTTTTGAGAGGTTCAACAGTACATGTGTTTTTCACATGATCCGAAAATTTTCGTATTTTATTGGCTATTTGTTTCGGAAGTATTTGAAGTTATGCCTGTTTCGGAGGTTTCGCCCATTTCGGAGGTTTCGCCCAGTTTCGGAGGTTTCGGCCGAAACACTGATATGAAAAAACCTTTTTTTCCTAACCTATTTAAACTGCACTTGCTACCTGGATCGCTTGAAAGAATGTTAAATCAATTGATAAAATTTTTTAATTATGATATAAATTTGTTCTGTAATTTTGTTTAAGCATAGAAGAAACTCGTATTTTTACGGAAAATCACGGGTTATAACATTTATGTGATTGGCTAATTTGTGTAGATCCAAGCATGATTATTGGCCAATCAAATTAATTAAAATTTTTTTTTTAATACGCGAAAACAAAATAGATTATTATTATTAACTGTTAATAAAAGCAAAACTTTCTTAATGGCAAAGTATTCTATTTTATTTTTTACCTTTAGACTTTTCTAAAAATATATTGTTATATCTAGTATGATGCTATACTAATGTAATTAGACCACACTATCGTATTTACTATATATTAGAGATTTAAATTTTCTTTTTAGTTGATACATAAAATATATCTGATATATACGTCTTAGTTCGATTAAAATAAGTCTTGTAAAAAGTTTAAATTGCTTGGCCTGTTTAATAAATATATAAAGGTTTGAGTTAGTATAACATTCACGATTTAACAGTTTATAAAACTAATATTTAACATTAAAATTAAAGGTAGTAGAAACTCAATAAACTCTGCCAATTACAAAACGTCCTACCTTTATTCTTATGAAACTTTCTGGGGAAAGCGATTGAAAATGATTAGAAAAGATTTTCTACTATTAATCAATAGTGGTACCTTTAACTTATTATGGTTAAAGGGATAGTAATGGTTTTAAGACTACAACCGTATATCGAAATTTCAATTTTCCATATAAATAGCCCGTGTAACATGATTTCGGATACGAGTTTCTTCGATGCTTTTTGTTTATTGGAGCTTTATATTGGTCTATTCAAAATTGAAATCATAATTTTTGGTCGTACCGTATAGGCGCGTAATAACGCACATGGGCGTTATTTCGAAATTTCGATTTTTTTTAAAATGGCATATTTGACTCAAAATAACGCCCATGCGCGTCTCAAAATAATGTGCCCCTCCATGTGTACCAGATTATCATTCAAGAAAGTAGTTTGAAACTTTTTTTCAAAATTAGCATAATAATTCGAATTATCGCGCATGCGCGTCCCGAAATAACGTGCAGGGGCTCGAAATAACGCGCCCCTGCGCGTTATTACGCACCTATGCGGTAAAGGCTGAAATCTAATTAAAGGTCATCGAAGATCATATAACACGAAAAAAATGTTTGACGTTAAATTTCTATGTGATACCATATATAGTTTTATAGTTTTTATTTACATGGTATATCGACTGGACACGTATTAACCTAATCTAGTATTATGGAAAATATCCAATGAAATTTCTTTCTTTTCAAAAAAAATGCTTAAATCCGGATTTAAGAGAAAATTCGAGCTTAAAAAAAAACTACATCAAAAAAAAAATGGTTATCTCATATTTTTATTCTTAAATCCTTCTGGTATGGCAATGAAAAGGACTATAGATCCTTATCGATATCAACAGTAATAATAATTATTAGTGTAGAATGTGCAACTGAAATTGCTTCGTATGTTGTTAAAAAAAAACTACTATATATTTACAAGAAATAAATCGTATCAATTTTTAACTTTAATTAGAGATGCCTGCTGCAAAATCGCTACTTTGTGTCTCTTTAGAATTAGTTGTAACCTTTGCGAACCCTCTTTTTGCTGCAAAAAGATATATGATCGCAAAATCGCAAGTTCGAAAGTCTATATAATTATCGTTATAATAAAAATTAATGTTATCTTTGTGATGTAGATTACGAATAATTTTTTATAATTTGCGGCATATCTTTAAATTTTATATTTAAAAAATCGTGAATGTTGTAACCCTAGTTGCGCCATAAAAATGTCACAATGAATATTTGCGGTAAACAACACGTTAATTTTAACACATTTTGAAATTTATAATATAAGAAAGCGAACATCGTTTCAATTATAAAGTTAAAAACATTAATGAAATTCTTAGTAGGTACAATTCTATTTTGGTGGGGAAAGTGTGACTTTGCTACGGGATTATTTTATATTTGAGTGATACCGAATGAGAACTAGTAATGTTTTACGTATTCAATAAACTTCATTCATTAAATTCCTGTAAGTTAAAATGATTAGATGCATAACGATAAGAATTTTACTTTCAGGTTTTTGTTTGGTATTACTCGTAATTTCTGGTATATTTCTGGATTTAACATTTTGACTGATCTCTATTATATCCAACATATCAGCTAAAAAAAAATTTTAATTTAGTTCTTAAGGTTAGGGTACAATTTTAAGAGGTTTTTTTTTTTTATGTAGATTCGATACAGGGTCCCGATTTTAGTTCTCGTGAGGTTTTCAGGGGTCTTGGACATTTTTACTTAGAGATATAAGCATCCGTGATGATCACCACCGGTTATAGTTACTAAAATTCTTTTTTTAATGTCATTTAGATTTTTAATTTAACGTTATCGTTATATTTCATTCTCATTTAGTAGCTAGCTTAACGATTATTAAGTTCCAAATTTATAGTATTTATCTTTACACAACGTATCACGTTTTAATTTCATTATTCGCGTAAATTTAGTGAATAAGTAGAATGTTTAAGAACAAGTTACGTAATTAATTAAATATATCTCATTTATGTATGCTATATATTTCTTATAAATATGGGTTCTTGTTCTTTTTTTAAGCACCACGAAAAAGTCAAGAAATTAAAATTTGGTTGACATTGTTGATCTTCATTTTGACTTTATCTCAAAAATAAAAGTAGTGTTTTATATTTTAGTACGAATAAAGCAAGAAAAAAAAATAAAAATTTTTAAACTTACAGGCGCACATAAATAAGATAGCCAATCAAACTAAATCTCTAATTAATTCATAAATTTCTTCATTGACATGAAAATTTACTTTAATGTTAGTATAAAGTTATCGTCGTAAGGTGGTTCAAAGCCTTCTCTACCTTTTACACTTTCTTATGTTGAACTTAATTCAGTGTCATAACTAGAATTCGGATTAGTATGTACGTACTTGGCTATTCTATTGATAGATCATATTTGTAAAAACAAAAATTTAGAATGATAATACATGTCTATACAAACTGGCTTATTATATAAGAAGTGGCGTTTTATATATAACACGGGAAGTGTGAATATGTTCAGAAACCAGTTAATTAATACAACTTCAATTAAAGACGTTTCACCTATGTAAATGATTTCTTATAAATATGGGTTCTTACTCTCTTTTTTAAGTATTATAAAAAAGATACGCAAAGATTAAAAATTGTTTAGATATTAATTATAATAAAAAAAAAAAACTTCATTAAATTAATCTGAAAATAAAAGTAGTGTTTATACTTAATACGAAATGAATATCACTAAAAGTACAATTATTTTCCTATTTGTATGCGTTCTTATCATCTTTGGTGCTCTTGCTCAAGAGTAAGTTTTCGAAATTAATGGCTTTGAAAATCAGAATTTTTTTATAATTTTTCTAAAATATGTCCTGTAATTCTCTTATTAATCCTGAAAGTACGACGACAACTGATACTGCTGCTCCGCCAGCTGACGCAACTCCAGCCGCCCCAGCTACTGTTCCTCCAGCTGGTGCCACTCCATCCACTCCAGCTGGCGCCGCTCCAGCTGGTGCAACTGGCGCTTCTCCAACTGGCCCTCCTCCAACTGGCGCTTCTCCAGCTGGCGCTTCTCCAGCTGCTAAAAGTCCCGCTGGTACTGCAGCTGCTACCTCTAGTGCCGCGTAAATATTTTTAGAAAATTTTGATTAATTATTTTTAATTAACTAATTATCATATAATTAAATTACTTTTTATTTTTTTAAAAAAAGTGCTAAATCCACAACATCCCCAAGTGCATCAGGCGCTGTTTCAAGAATTCACGTTAACAACGTTGAATTAATTATTGGATCTTTAATTGTTTTATTCGTTGGTGGTTTATTATATTAAATTTTGATACAATTTTTGTTTATAATCAAAATTCATTTCATTCAATCATGTAAAATATTCATACACAAAAAGAAGTTTGCATAATTTTCTAGATCTATATCACATTATGGATAATGAATAATAATAATATTGTTTATAATTAAAATTTATTTTGATAAAGATTTATAAGCGCCTGTTCGCAAATATTATTCATATCCTATATTATGAGATAATAGCATTTGTAATGAGTGATAAATGTTAAGCATGTTTGTGACAAACAGAATAGTCTCGTCAAAAATAAAAAACAGATATCGAATTCATAAAATTTACTAATAATCATTGTATTTAATATATGATAAAGATTTTCTTACTGGCGCATTACTATCGTTACGTAATGAATTTTACGTTCTAAAATTAAATACTATACTGTAGTTATGAATTACACGATTAGGTGTTATCACATGTGTATTTAACACAATTATTAAAAGATAGGAACTTATCATAAGCAATTTCTATAAATTTAATTTAGAAAATTATTGCGTTAGTGAATTGTATACGTGACGAGTCATCCAAAACCTTAAAAGGAATAGTTACAAAGCCACAACAGCAATTAACGTCAATAATAAATTTGATCGATATTGTCTGTCTCGGCTATATACTAAAAAAAAAATCTCATAATTACATACTATATTTAGAAACTTCATTAGATAGCTATCTGGGCATTTAAAATGAACACCGTACGTATGTACACGACAATATAGCGATAGGATAAAATCTATGACGAGCCTAAAATAGAAGTCGGAACCGGTTGTAAATTCATAAGCAATTGAAAACTGGTTACTATCTAAGTTAAACAAGGTTGAGCTTGAATAGAATGGATATATTAGAACGTGTCAATCATGTTTGTTCTTTGGTTTGTTTGTGTAAGCGGACGAACATTACCGTCACGAAATAGAATAATATCTTTAATTTAAAAAAAAAAGAATTTAACTCGAATTTAAAAGTTGAATTATAATTTCACATAGTCTAATTTATCATTATACTCCTAGTTTCATACATGACAATCACGTTTACTTAAGAAATGAAAAGCTTTGAGGGTACTATAAGCAGTAGCCAACGGTATTTATTCCGGGCCCGTATCATTTCATCGACAATCATTCAAAGGCACCACATTTCGCCGACAAGCTTATTTTACAGACAAGTTCATTTCGTATTTCATCAACAGCTCATTTCACAGACAAGTTTTTACACTAACCTTAACTCTAACTCTAAACCTAACCCTAACGACAATGGCTAGAATTACTTAGTCTGTGAGATGAGCTGTCAGTGAAATATACTGTCTACGAAAAATGAACATCCCTATAAATTAATCATCTGTAAAATAAGCTTGAAATACGTCGTCTTCTTGAAGTGATTGTCGATGAGTTGATCGAATCCGACTATGACGTTACAATGTAAATACGTCAAATCCACCGTATGATCCGTAAGTAAATTTATGACATTCGAAATTACATATTTGATACGATAATAAATCAAAAAACTTTTGATATACGTAATTTTACATCACTTTTCACTTTGATTAAATATTTAATATTCTCAACCATGGGGACAATCATAATTGATTATTCAAATATTCAAATTAAGTAATCTTTCTATTGCAGGATTTAAATTTATACTACAGGTTGTTCATCAACTACCCATTCGATGATCTCTTTGCCTTTTTGTCGAACCCAAGATTCTATCATGGATACATATACCCATCCTTCTGACGTCTTTTTATTTGCAAATATCTCCATACCTTTAAAAATCAGCAAATATATTCAAAAAAATATTATTTATAAGTTAAACCAAGTTTAAAAATAATAAACTACACAAACGTTTCGGGTATAGTATTTCCTCGGTAGTTAACAATATGACTTTACATCTATAATAATATAGAGCATGTGATCAAAATGATAATTAATATACCGCATAAATTGGTAATAATAATAATGATAAGGAATTTCTTATACATTATACTACGAGAATTATAAATAAAATGTATACATTCATACACATACCTTGCACGGCTTATTGCCACATTCCAACGATTTCTATCAAATAAAAAATCGGATTCTCGAGCAATTTCATTAGCGTCGAGAAATCCGAAGCATGCGATTACAAGATCTGCTTCTTGTCCTTGCATTTTTTCAACAGTATTTATATTCAAGTTGATTTCAGGATTAGATAAATATTTAGTAACTTTAGATTTGATGGCATGTCGTTGACGATGATGTGGTGTAACAATAAACAAAGATGGCTTATCTGACTCTTGACGAGCTGCATCAAAATATGCTGAAACTATTTTAGCCACAGCATTTGCTTCTTCTCGTAAAATTTTATCAGAAAGAAATTCTGTTGCTTCATGATTTTTTAACGATAACTTTACCAAATTAATCGCTGTTCCGGGTAATAATATTTTTCTTATAATTGGATCTTCTATGTGTGAAAGCTTATCATCTTTAAAATCCAATTCTAAAGAGGGATGCCTTGAAATATAATCATCACCATATATTTTTTGGAAAAAGCTATTAAGTTCATCATTCTATAAAATAAAATCTGAATTATATAAATTTACATAACTACAGTATATACGCAAAAGGATTCCAAAATATATGTATACCATTCTCCAATTATCTCTTAGCTTAAGTGTGCACGGACCAAAATCACGTTTTTGTCCTTTTTTGTGAAAGAAGTCTTCTTCGTTAAAAATAGATCCATCCTCTTTTCTCATCAAACATTGTTGAATTGATCCTAAAATAAGTGGATGATCATCCGAAAAAACGGGATATGTATTCTGAATAATGGGTCCAAGTTGCTACAAATATTTCATAATCATCTCGTTGTTAGGTTCGATGAATATCAAAAAAAACCCCCGTAAATAATGATACGTATTCACCATATGATCTCCAGCAATAATTAATTTTCCATGTTCCGGATTCAAATTTTCTATGACGACACAAGCGTCCGAAGCTAAGAGCTAAATTAAAGAAAATGATCTTTACGCATAAATGTTATTTACAATAAATTATAATTAAATTTCACACACTTACTTGCGATCCTTCATCTATAATCATAATATCACAACCCGTCCAGTCCTCCCAATTTTTACGGATCTTATACCAGTCCCATACTGTACCTCCGATAACAATAGGTTTATCAGGAATATCAGACCTTGCAACTTTCCTTTGTGGTCTCTTTTCTAGTTTCTTTTGTAGTTTATCGGCTTTATAATCTTCTACACCATTAAGCGAACTATCATTATTTAATTCACTAACCATTCGAGCCAAAAAAAAATCAGCTTGTTTCATATCTTTGATTCGAGCGATACGTTCCAATAAATTGTCAATAGCAGTTCTGGTAAAAGCTGTAATTCCAATAATAAAATTTTTGTTATTTCCTGAGGGCTGAGGTTTTATTGCAGTCAGGTACCATGTAATAAATAACGCGAGGAAATGAGTTTTTCCAGATCCCTTATTGGAAAATAATTATTTAATGTTTTAATACTGAAAAAAAAAAACAAATCATCAATATAAAAGATCTATCAATGTAATTACCGGTGGACCCCAGACAATTTGAAGCCTTTTTTCCAACGAACTTTCAGAGATTTCATTTTGTGATGGTGACATTCCAAAGGAATCTCGCAGTTTCTTTGCAGTAGTCTTTAATTCCTTTGAATGCTCTTCAAATTCTTCAAATACAGAAGATCCCCATTCATTTGGTTCCTTTAAGAGATTCTAATATGATTGTTATAATAATTCATAAATAATTTGGTAAATTATTCAATATCTTTATTTAATTAATTAACTATGTGAATTCTTTTACCAGGAACAAAGAACTTGACTGTTCATCAATCTTGATAAGCGTTTTTAGAATCTTATCTGTATTGAAATCAATATATCTTTTATATAGACGATACGTCGAACCAACATTTAGTATCTTCTTGATTTTCCCTTTTAATTGGACCTTGTGTGTAGGATTATTTTCAACCTCTACAAGAGCGAGAACTGATAACGGATAGCCCCATAACTTATCTTTATATTTCATATCAGAAAAACGGATGGCCTCAAGGGCTCCCTTTAAGGGTTTTAAATTGAAATGAATAATTATAAATTATACGACATTAAAACATCAGTGTACATAAATACCTTTGCAGTATCTTCAACCAAAATGTATTCTTTGAAAGATTTTGGTTCGGGCACATAAGACTTGTTATCATAATTTAAAACGATAAATGAAACTATCCATTCATTATTTTTTTCTTTTGTGACGAATTTTTCAAGTTTCACACGAATTCCGTTTGTGGCTTCCCCTTGAACAAAATCTTTTATCCGTTCTTCTTTAAATCGGGAATATGTGGTAATTTCTTCAAACTGTTTAAAGAAGTATAATTTCCCCAAATAATGATGTTGAAAAGATCTAACTTCGGAAAGAACGAACTCTTGAGGGGAAAATATTAATTTTGATGCAATATCATTCGTTAACTTTTTAAGGAGGGCATAATAAGCTTGAATGACTGCATTAACAAATTTGGTTCTGTATAAATGAGATTGGTTAACCGTGTCTTTAATTAGATATTCAGAATTCCATATAGAATAAATGTCCTCAAGTTCAATATTGGAGATGTGATGTTTCAAATTGCTTAACAACTCTTGGCAATTTTTCAAGGTGGGCACAACCATTTTTTCCCAAATATCAATGATTCGATAAAAACCTGGAACGTTGATTGCTATATTCTCTCTCACAGAGTGTTCCAGAACGATAAGTCTAGGAAATTCATTCCATTTATCAGGAAGTTCCGAACATTCATTGTCATCACTTCCAGCAGCCAACAAAGCAGAGCAATCTTCAAAAAGATTAAATAGACATTGTGTTGCTGTGTGTTGAATGTCTTTAGAAACTTTATCAGAATCCAATGTTATTAGCTTAATTAATGATTCTTGAATTGCAATTTTTTCTTGCTCAGAATAAACGAATATACATGCTCGAGATTCTTCATCAGATAGAAATTGCAAAGTCTCTTTTAAGAGGTTCACAAATTTTTTCATCAACAAGATAAATGTTGATATAGTTTTATCTCTAGATTTGGAAATATTTACAGCTTTCTGAAACGTTTTAATGGTCTTTCCATCACTAGTATAAAGACATATAGCCCAACCAAAAGGATATGAATCAAAAGGGTCCAAAGACATTGCGATCACAAGATTGTGATCAGTTTCCTGAGGAAAAGTTGCCGTTGGAGTACCGATAAACTAATGAAATAACGAATTAAAAACTTTTTTTGTCAAACAATTTCAATTTCGAATTAAAAAATAAATTAATATTACCTGGACATTTCCTGTTTTATATACATCGAGGTAAGGTGATATTTCGCGGTCTTCATCATACTTAATAATCTGTTTTATTTTTCTATTAACTGTTGTCGTATTTTCATCATCAATAGTAAAATTGTTAACGTAACCAGCCAAGTCTTCAAAATCTGCTTTTAATATTTCTTTCTCGTGATTAACAGTAAGTTTACTAATATGATTAGACAAATCTTCAATGTCTACATCATTTTCCTTCAATAATTTGCTCTTAGATTTCTCATTTTGAATGACCCGTTTCAGGTATGATGAATTTTCTATTGATAAATATGGGATCATAGCTATTGTTCCATCCGCTTCTTTACGACAATCATTTACAAATTCACAATTTTTACAACGAACATTATAATGCCATGAAACTTCCGAAGCTGACGCTATCCGTGGAAGATCTGTTTGTAAAAATCGTTCAACTTTCGGAAATAGGTAATCGACACGGAATGTTTGACGGTTTAATCCTTCTGATGATAATAAAAATATTCCTCCTGACCGAGAAATTGAAACTCCACGCATCATTTTGCTTTTGATTATGTTATCTAAAAGAAAAGCGTATGAAGCGACTTTGAACTTGAAGTTTGTGAATAAAAAAAAATTTTTTTGTTTATGCCATTAAAATTGAAAATTATAATAATGTTACAAAATGTTGTACTGTGACGAAATGAATTACCTGATGAGAAACGCGTGCTTCTTTTGATGCATTGGCATCCCATATCATTAAACGTTTTACACCATCCTCCTCAATAACTTCCACAAAATCAGGAATAAAGGTTTTTAATCTAACGATTTCTCTGATTTTTAATTTATCGTATAAGTCATCTGATACTTCGAATTGTAATCGATATAAGAATTGTCCTACTTGAGCATCCTCCAAAATTTTGCGGATTTCAGAAGGTTCTGAATTACTATGATCAATTACTTTATCTTTTAAATGATTGAGGATATTTTGTTTAATTTCTATTAAACGTTTTTTTAAAGCATCCTTTAATGCGGAATGATCCGTATTTCGTTTGTCATCCAAGATATTCGATAATAATTTATCGCAACTAAAGTGGAAATATTTTGAAAGATCTGAAATTGCGATTAAAGGAATTTCTTCATGTTTATCTGAAATAGACTGTTAAATCGGAAATTAAATAGGGCATATTATCTAGTAAAGTTTTAATAGAAATGTTTACTAGTATTTTACCTGTGACATTTTCCACAAAGTTTGCTAATGTAATCGACAGAAACCACATCAAAAAAAAAGGCTTATAAGATAAAATCGACAATACTAATTTCCTTATTTGAAGAATGTCTAACTAAAGATGGACCGATTTGTGCATGATTCCGACAATGGTGTATTTTTCCCATCAAAATTGTCGAAAAGCATTCGCATTTTGTATTTATCTTGATGGCCAGAGACGATTGGGGCGAGGCAATTGTAATTGCATTGAGAGTTGTCCCGGTTCAAGTCCTCCATCCGAAAAGGCTTAGATGATATTAGAATTTTTTTTTTGCACAATTACCAATGGACCTGTTTCCATCGTATTCAATTCCCTTCGTTTCTTAACATTATTTATCAACATGTAGGAAGATGCTCCCCTTATGCAAACCTGGGTTACACTCGACACACCCGATGCACTAAGCACTGTTAAAAATTTAAAAAGACCTATGATTCTAGGTCAGTGTCGTGAACAGTAGGGTTGGGTTCGGCTACGAACGGCTACGATTATTCATAGCCAATTTGCGGATGATTTTTGTTCTTGAGCTTTTAATTAAAGTTGTTCAGAATTAAATTCTGGTCATCCCATCCCATATTATAAGTAGAAATAACGATACCTTCTCTGGAACTCGGAATTTTAAGATTTGCATCGTCATAGCCGGCTACTAGCCGCCGGCCAATAGTCGGCTATGACGTTACAAAACTTAAAATTCCGAGTTCCAGAGAAGGTATCGTTCTTCTACTTACAATATGGGATGACCAGAATTTAATTCCGAACAAGTTTAATTAAAAGCTCAAGAACAAAAAATCATCCCAGTATTTAGCAAATTGGCTATGAATAATCGTAGCCGTTCGTAGTCGAACCCATCCCTAGTGAACAGGTTTACTTTAACGAGTAGTACAAAGGTTAACAGGAAATACTACCCTTAAAAAGTTAAGGTTACGGTGTGCTATAGGCATTTACTAATTTCCCCCAAGTTTCTATTGGTCGACGCTTTTGATTGGATGCAATGATCTCTAGCAACGTGCCATATTGAATATACTATAGCCCATAACATAACAGATAATATTATAGACGATGCGTGTTTTTTGATCGATCTTTATTAAAATCTGAAAGAAGCTTTCAGATTTTAAATTAATGAAGACCCAGTTAATTAAAGGCTAAATTTTGCTAAAAAAAGTAACAAATAAGAAAGATTAAGGTTTGGTAAATGCTTTTTGTGATTTTCGCGTTAGGCTTATATTTAAAACTGATTTACTTTTAAATCTTTATTCTTTCCAATACTTGGTGCGCCTGTAGCGTGTTAATTATAAGCTAGATAGGTTATTTAGCAGTCTTATGCACATTGTGTGATCTAGATAATGAGATAAGTCTGCGCTTCTTTTTAATCTTTAATGCATGCACTTTAGATATAGTGCGTGTGTACAGTCTGAATGCTGTTAGGTCATTTTAGCACTTTATGTCGTCTAGATAGTATTAGTTGCGTTTATATAGATATAATTGGTGCAGTGGTAATGGAGGAAAACGAATCACAGATAATTGCGTTATTATATGCGCTTGACAGTATGTAAGATGCCATTGACCGATAAAAAGTGCGGCTATGATTCTACACTTTATCCTTTGTCTACTCTTTTTCAGTAATTCCTACACCTTTTCTACTATTATTCTTCCACTTTATTAATCAAACAAGAAATCTCAACACCCACCTGACCAAAATCAATGAGATTTTTTTTCTTTTAATTGCAGAAATCATTGAGAGTCCACTGTTTATAATATTACCATTATGTAAACTTCATTGAATAAGTTTTTGCAAATTAATAATTTGAAGAACCAGAATTCTAATTTTTGAGCATTTAATAAATCTTATATATTTCTTGTAAGTATAGTTGATAGACGAAACCTCTGACAAAGGTCGAAACACCAAATTCTTCTGATGAAAGATGAAGCCTTATATTCAGAAAAACAAATCTTAGTGCACTTTCAAAAAAAAAAAACATAAAAATTTTTTTCTGGACAATGCTAGGGTTGTTATAGATAGATTGAAATAGCCTTGTTAAAAAGTCATAATACTCATATATAACATAAACAATGAGTTAAAAGATACTAGCACAAAATAAATTTGTAAGACTACAAAGTAAGCAGCAAGCGATTTTTCATTAGAACTGATATGTATAATATAATATAAGATAGAAAACTCAATTCATGTACTTATTATATAATAAAATTTTTTGTAATTTTTATAAATTTCTGTATTTGATTATTTTTTTATACACATAATTTTCAATATTTATTTGTATATTCATCTTTTATTAGTTTTGTCACCCTTTACAATTTCATTGGTTTCGTTATTTCATCATTTAAAATTTTAATTGACAAAAGACAAAGCTAGGTTTTATGTTTTATCAGTGCAAAACCTTGAGATTTCGTCTAATAACTATATTTGTAAGTTTCTTACATTTTAATAAATGATTTTTTAATTGGTTAACTAAATCAATAGTCTTCTTCATAATAACTAGAAAATGCGTGTCCAAAGCTTTATCAATAAGCTAGTGATTAACAACCAATCAGAGATGTGGAAATGAGCAGACTATCGGGAAAATAAATATGGTGCAGATCTGCAAAGATCTGTGACCCTAAAAATTTTCACCAAATTTAATAACATTTTATAATCTATTAACCAGAACTTAACGAATTAGGTACCATTCGAACCGTCTCAATGAGACAGATCAAATGGTACTAAAATCATTAAAATTCGATGCCTAGATCATGAGATAATTGCATCTAAATAAATTTTGCAGCTATCTCACGATCTTGTTAACTAATGGTCCAAATTTAATGATTTTGGTACCATTTGATTCCTCTTGATGAGACGGTTCGAATGGTACCAAACCATTAAAATTGGATCACTAGTTCGCGAGATATTCACAAAATACATTTCACAGTGTAGCTCTACACAGATCTGCACAAAAAATTTTGCAAATTTGCATAAAACTGCATCATGAAATATATTTTGTGAATAACTCATGAATCAGTGATCTGATTTTAATGTTTTTGGCACCATTCTAACTGTCTTATCAAGAGGAATCGAGTGGTACCAAAATCATTAAATTTGAACTACTAGTTAACAAGATTATGTAATAGCTGCTGCAAAATTCACTTAAATGCAATTATCTTATGATTCAATAATTGAATTTTAATGATATTAGTACCATTTGATCTGCCTCATTAAGACAGTTCGAATAGTATCTAATTCGTTAAGTTCTGTTTAATAGATCATGAGATATCATGAAATTTGTTAAAATTTTTAGAGTCACAGATCTTTGCAAATCTGCACTATATTTATTTTTCCAATGACAGAATGCACATGATATTGATAATCAAATACAGACGTAAAACAGAGTATCTTATGCTACGCTTCAGATAATTACATTTTTGATAAGATATTGATAATATTTTTTAGATTCAGTAACTTTTGTATAGTTATCATGATGAAATTGAAGTTGGAAAGGATGAACATAAGGTGTTCATATATTAACAAAAATCTGCAAAGATGAGACACCCTAGAGGAACATTTAATGTTGGATATTGTTATAAAAATAGAATTGAAGTTAAAAAGGATAAACATAAGGTATTCATTTATTATTAAAAATCTGCAAAGATAGGTGTTGCTAATGGAATCTTTGATATTGAAGATTAGAATTGAAGTTGAAAAGGATGAACATAAGACATTCATTTAGTATAAAAAATCTGCAGAGATGGATCATACTATAGGAACATGTATTCTTATCAGAATAGAATTGAAGTTAAAAAAGATGAATATAAGGCATTTATTTATTATCAAAATCTGCAGAGATGGGGCATGCAACTAGAACAAATGAAGTTGGATATACAGAGAACCCTCTCTAAGTGCACTCTCTATAAGTGCACACCCTCTCTAAATGCATGCTTAAATTTGGGCCCAAATATATAGATAACCTCCTTAAATGCACTTTTTATTATTGTTTTCTAAGTGTACATTATTAAAGTTTAGTCACAAGAGTGTGCATTTAGAGAAAGTTCTCTGTACCAGGAGCAGAGTACAAAGTACATAGAGTATAGTTTACAGATATTTGAAATTCTGTGTTTCTTTTGTATTTGATTGGTTAATTTATCCTTGTGACTTTGGATTAAATTTCTATATTTGTACATACCCATGGGCAGAGTTGTCATGTTTAATCCAAATTATTAGATTTTTGGATGTCCAATGTCCAATCAAAACTATTGAACCATTGGACATTGGATGACCAAAGTCTAAAATTACAATTGGATGTTAAATTGGATGGCCAATACAAGCTATCCAAATGTCTGATTTTGTTTAATGTACATCATTGCCCATGGAGTATTATATCAAATTTAAAAAAAAATGCAAATTATATATTTATAATTAGAGAATATTCTAGACTACTATAATAATATAATAAATTCTTTGTCTAGTAATCAATTAGTAAGTTAAGCTTTACTATTTAATATCATAGCTTTTAAACCTATGATATGAATATTCTTGATTTATCAGTTTTTGTTTACTATTCTAACTAATACTAAATACCTACAGGTTTGTTATATAAATAGAGCTTATACATTTTACTCTGTTAAATATATAATTTTGATATATATATATTATTTTCTTATCTGATATATCAATATAAATATAGCAATCATGTTTGATAGTTATTGCTACTATATATAGTTGAATTAATGTAGTATTCTGAACTAAGATATTTTTTAATAGATAATTACCTGATTTAGGGTTGTCTAAAGTGGAGTAGAATCATATGATGCTCATAGTGATTTTTTTTTTTTTTTTTTTTGGTATTAAAGTGAGGCCTTGCTCGTATCTTTATTGATTAATTTATATAAGTAATTACATATCAACTATATAAGAACTTAATTTGTATAA